TATGAGCAAAGCTTACTCGAATCCTGCAAATAGCAATAACCTTCTAGATGATATTCCACGAGAAAATTGTAGTACCAATGGCAACAAAGGTTTCAATCATATAGATAATAACAGTTCCGTAAAAGATCAAAACCTAGAAAATCGAGTTAATAATATCATGGATAGTAACTGCTTCAATCCTATAGATGGTAGCAATTCTTTAAATGATCATTTACAGGAAATCGAAACTGATACCGAAAATAATAATGTCTTCAATCCTACAGATAGTAGTAATTCCTTAATTGACGATGTCCAAGAACCTGCAGATGATAATACTGCAAATAATAACTGCATCAGTCCTACAAATAGTGGCTATTACTTAAACCGCAATTGCAACGAAAATATAAATAATACATCTATTATCTGCTCTAATTCTTTAAATAATCCTCGACTATGGAATAGTCGCCACATTGAGTTTATAAACCTACTTATGAAGGAACTTTATGATAAGATCCTAAAATATAGTAAAGCCTCAAGAAAAGAAAAGAGCAACGAGATAGATAATAAAAAGTTATCGACCTACGGTAGAATTGTACAGTTTCTTCCAAGCATGGATGCCGATACTATAGCTAAGAAGTATGGAGAAGAACATCTGGCTAAAGAAGGTGTAAAGAAATCGTTCAGGTATTATTCACGTCGAAAAGCGTCTAAATTTATTGGCGCAACGCCATTAATACCAAATCATCAGAGAGAAGATGGATTGGCCGTCTTCTTTGCCATTATTGCTGTCGATATTTGCCGTTGCTGGCAACAGCAAATATCTATTATAAGTGACAAAAACGCTTATTGTTCTATGACCGCTTTCGTACAGGATATTGTCCAATGTATAACAAGATACCTCCATAAGCGTTCGGGACGCTTTGGCATAATTAGCCGACTCAGAGATGCGATTCGCCATGTCAAACGAGCAACCGCGAAATACAAGCAACTCTGAAGGCCAATCTTGATCATGACATAGATTGTTGCGAAGCACTTAAAGCAACACTAAAATATTTTATGGAAGGGCTATATTGCGATACTCCAAAAGGAAAGACTGTGCAATTTTGGGTACGTGGCCAAGTTGCAGCTATACGCCTTCCGTCTCAAGAAAATGATATAACAGTCAACACTGTCAATTTGTTACGTAGAGTTCATGTTAAGAGCAACAAAAATGGAAAATACTATTTTCCATCTGGTAAGAATAATGTTTTTAAACGAATTGCACGTAGACGTTCAGCAAGAATAATAAATTACAAGCAAGATAAAATTACAAAGCAATGTGGATACAAGCTAGAGAGCTTAATATATCCTAACGAGTTACTAGCTAATCAAAGTTACACATCTGTGAATAAACCAGTCATTGAAGCTGAGAATAACGAAACCTTATGTAGTGTTGATAGCTTTGTTAAATTGAAAAATATTGCCAAAGATTTTGTATTTAATATTATGGACAGAAATCTTCGAAAAGGGTACCGAACTCTATCAAAATCATTACCTAAAAATTTGTGATAGTCTTCTTAACTCTGTCGGTAAATTAGCTCTACAGCTGCAGTACTCCGATTAGTTCTCTAGTAATTACCTCAGAGTACTATATAATGGAACACTTTCATTTTATATTTTTTTATTCCGATATAAACCCACTTTTTAAGCGACTATCGATATATTAAAACTACAATTAGGAATTAATCACTACCGTATGAGCCTAATTTTAGGCTTATCTTCCCGATATTTACCTTAGCACGACTCTAAATACTGACAATCTCTTAGCGCCATCTACTGATTAGCCAACTGAATAAAAAACAACGAAATCACTAACTGAACGAAAAAAAAGAAGTGCTAACTGCTGTTATAGGATTACGTTATAATAAACGTAAGCTAGCTATCTCATACTAAGAAGGGAATCATACATACATAGTCCGATAACCTAGCTCTGAATTTTGTTCCAGTGTAATGTGTTGCGTAATATACGAGTACGTTATCGTTCATTTGAACGGGTACCCAACTAGTTAAATTACAAAAAAGCACAATCTTGATATCTTGCTATTACTATTGACTCTTTTTTGCAATACTGTATATTTATATGCAAATTATAATGATTTATTTTTAAACCTACTTTGGGTCTTTATCGTGAAATCTGTTAAATGAAATAATAGATATGTGATCTGTGTAATTTTTAATTTCGGTTATATTAGTATCATCGATTAGTTGCAATGTTATGACTTAAAATCTTAAATCGTCATAAAAATTTATTTCTCAGATACTAATAAATGTTTTTTCCTTTTTATTTCCTTGGCTACTTTGCGTTTCTTATAACGTTGTAAATTCTGAAGCTAGTGATGATTATAATTACCACAGAATGCACAAGAAGAAATTTGTTTATTTCAATTACTACATTAATTGCATGTAAAGTATGAAATATGCGTACGATATCACTTGTATAATAGA